ACTGAGCCAAGCTCCAGACTATGACCAGGTATGGGACCAGGGCCATTTCCGGTGACTGCTGGAACAACAAAGGGCCCCAAACAAGGTGCGAGAGAAGAGGAGAACTATGTTCTCTCATGTTCTGGAAACTCAAAGTCTGACATCAAGGAGTCAGCAGGGCCAGCCACCCTCTGAAGCCTCTAGGGGAGACCTCTTAACCTCTTCTGTCTTCAGGCGGCCCCCAGCCTACCTTCCTTGGCCTATGGTGGCATGACTGCCTCTGTCTTCACCCAGCCGTCTCCCCCTTTGCCTCTGTGTTTGAATAGGCCCCGGGTGGTGCAGATCCTTCATGGCACTTACCTGGAGATCGGAGGTTGGAGTCCACCCCTCGGCCCCTCGGAAGAAAGGCCTGGCAATCTACTGCCCCCCCCAAACCAGTCACTGAAGCCCCATGGGGCACTGCTGTCCGCTGGCACACCCACAGGGCCGCCGTGGAGTGTGGATCAGCTTTGTAGCCCTCGGTTCCCTCTGTGCTCAGACGGAGCCTCATCTCCGTCTGCACTCCGAAGGAACCAGGCCCTCGGGCAGCAGAGGCCAGGGCGTGCGCTTCCAAGGCAGGTGAAGGAAGGAGACGGGAAAGGAACAGGAAGCCTGGGCTGGGGGAGCCGGGGGCCTCACTGAGACAACCCTTCCCAGAGAAGCTGAGCAGCCAAGCCCCGCTCCAGCGGGCCCCATGATCCTGAGGCAGCCTTAGCACCTGGGAGTGCACATGCACAGGGGGTCGTGGTCAAGTTTGCTTAGTGCTTCTCAACTGGGTATCATTTTGCCTCCCTGGACACTCAGGGGACATTGGCAATGTCTGGAGTCTTTTTTTGGGGATGTTTTTGGTGGTCTTTTTTGTAAATCATTTTATTGGGGGCTCTTATAGCTCTTATAACAATCCATACATTCATTGTATCAAGCATATTTATACATATGTTGCCATCATCATTTCCAAAATGTTTTCTACTTGAGCCCTTGGTATCAGCTCCTCTGTTTTGAATGTCCCCCTGAGAGGAAGGATGCAGGAGACAGAGGCCAGCCAGCTGCTGAATAGACATCGGCCACCAAGCAGGGCGACCCCCGGAAGAAAGCATTATCTGGTCCAGCACATCCATGGTGCCCAGGCTGTGAAGCCCAGCTCCAGCTCGGTTGGGCGAATCATCTCAGGCGTGACCCCCTCCCGATGTAACAGAGCCAGGCTGCCTGGCTTTGAACCCTAGTGGTACAGTCTCAGGCACACTGCCTCCCCTCGCTGCCTTCGGCTTCCTCGCCTGGAAAGTGAGGCTGTAAGGACCGATGAGGAGGCATGCCAGGTTACTGTGCCGTACCACCAGCACCTGAGCCCTGGCTGGCATGTATGGGCAGTCTAGAGAGGCCCGGGCAGTGGTTCTCATTGTGACTCCTGTGTCCCAGGTGCCTGTGGTGGCCGTGCTGGGTTCTGGGGGTGGAACCCGTGCCATGACTTCCCTGTATGGTAGCCTGGCAGGGCTGCAGGAGCTGGGCCTCCTGGATGCTGTGACCTACCTGAGTGGTGTCTCTGGGTCTACCTGGTAAGGAAGGTGGGGGCAGAAGGCAGGGTAAAAGGGAGTGTGGCAGGCGGAGAGGCATGGCCTGGTGAGCTCTCTGTTGGCGTCTCCCTGGAGAGCCTGCAAACAGGGGTTTCTCAAAGGGTTGGCAGGGGGTGGAGGCACCTTCCCTTCCCATGGCCCCTTGGCAAATGGGTACACCATCCCTCCTCAGGTGCATGTCCACGCTCTACAGTGACCCAGCCTGGTCTCAGATGGCCTTGCAGGCCCCCATTGAGCGTGCCCAAGCCCGAGTCTGCAGCAGCAAGAGCGGGGCAGTATCCAGCGAGCGACTACTATACTATGCCCAGGAATTGGGGGCCCAGGAAAGCAGGGGCCACAGCACTTTCCCTATTGGCCTATGGGGCCTCTTAATTGAGTATTTCCTATACCAGGAGGTAAGAGATCATACAGTACACACGGGTCCCCTGGAAGATTGGCAAAACTGGCCCCCCCAAGGTCTGAGCTCCCTGGCCAGGGAGAGCTGACCCCACTTCATCTTTCCTGGGGTGGGAGAGCATGGCCTGTAGGTCTCAGATCTGTCTGCATCTTACAATCCCCTGCACCACTCTTCAAAAGCACTCATGCCCAGGCCTCACCCCAAGAGATTCTTATTTCAGTTTGTCTGAGGTAGGGCCCTGGCATAGGTAGGCTGTGAGAGTATCCCAAGTCATTCCTGATGCAGCCAAGGCAGGGTTCCTGGCCAATACGCCCTGTGGAGCTTGTTTCTAGAATGGCCAAAACTTTTGTTCCTATCACAATCCATACATACATCAATTGTGTAAAGCACATTTGTACATTCATTACTCTCATCATTCTCAAAACACCCGCTCTCCACTTAAGCCCCTGGCATCAGCTCCTCATTTTTCCCCCTCCCTCCCTGCTCTCCACTCCCTCATGAACCCTTGATAATTTATAAATT